GTTGTCGGGTTCCGTTTTCTTTAAAATCAAGCATTTCAATTAAACACAGAAAATTCTCACAAAAAAAAAGTTATTAAATCTAACCGAAAAGTTAAAAAAAGTAAGGTTTTTCAATAGCGTTTTGATATGCTTTTTTTTCTTGGTATAAAATTCATAATTCATTATTCTAACAAAGTAAAAAGTCCCAAAACGTTTTTCCTTACCTCTTAACTGAAATTGAAATTGCGAAGTCGTCGTCTTACATCTGAAATCCTAAAAAGCAGTCAAAAGTTAGCTATTTGGTTGAATAAAATACAATATTTATCGTAGAAAAGCTACGTGAGTGAGGAAGACAAGCCGCAATAAAGTTTTCGCGCCATAAGACAACGTGATTGACAAAGACCTCGGCATTTAGCTTATGAGATATCTCTAGTTTCTAGTTTACTGGAATGTTTTGAGTTTTTAAATCCAGCGTATCAGTTAGGAGTTTCAAGACAGGAAGATAATTGTGGTCTTTTGTGTGTGTGTGTGTGTGTGTGTGTGTGTGTGTGTGTGTGTGTGTGTGCTTTTTTTTTTTGCGCGTGTGTGTTTGGTTTTAGCTTTTTTTTCATCCACGAAGTCCACGTTTGCATCGAAGTTCAAATTCGCCTCCACGCAACGCATGCTTCACGTCATGCAGAATTTTTCTATTTTCAAAAAATACTAAATGAGCTCATTTAACGATAAAACAGTTGAACTTAGAATTTCATAAAAGCRGTATTAGTGCAAAATTGTTATTGCTTTATGTTCATATTGGGAGTCAAAAGTTACAATTACTGATGAGATCAGTATAGCCATTGAATTTGACTCGCGAAGCTAGACCTAGGTATTAGCGCTTACAAAATTTTCATATTTTTTCAAAACTAATAAAAAGTTCAAGTTCGTAACGCCAGTTTAGCACATAGAAGGTTAAAGACAGGAAGTTAGAATTAAGCTAAATGTGGTTTTACAAGACTATTTTCATTCACGAAGTCGTTGGCGGGAAAGTTCAAATTTTCCACACGTCGCACTCTGCATGGTCGACATGCTTCATGCAAAAAAAATCAATTTTCAAAGAAAAAGTACCAAAATGATTTGTTTTAAGACTAAAAAAATGGTTTAGAGTTTCATAAGACAATTTTGAAGTAAAACTTTATTCTGTTTTACATGTCTTTGGGGTCAAAAATTACAATTTGAAATACGTACTGGTTTGCCTCCCAAAGATTAGCCGATCCACCTCGGTATTTTAACGTTTGAAAACTCTCTCTTTTGTTTCAAAATAAGTAATTTTTAATTTCTAATACAAATTTAGCCCATAGCAGTTTAAAGGCAGGAATATGGAATTTAAATGAAGTTTTTTGTGTATTTTTTCATTCACGAAATCGTTCGCTTGGGAATACAAATTTGCCTCCATACAACGCAAACCTCATGCAGAATATTTCGATTTTCAACGAACAAATTTAATTAAACTGCTGAGAACTGGTTTAAACTTTTATGAAAACCGTTGTTCTTTCTAATTTATCCGTTTTTGGGGATCAATAGTTACAATTAAGCTTCAGATATTGAATTTGAGGCGTGCTGTCCAAAACTTCAACCGAGTTGCAAGCCTTTATTCGCTTTTGAAGAACTATATGTTTGAAAATATCAATCTGAACAGAAAGACTCTTCTTTTTCTTAAGCATTTCTAGCAAACTTCTGTTTACTTGAGGTTTTTAAAAGTTAGAATTCAGCTGTTTTATAATGAATAAAAATATTTCATCTTACCTCGTGGAAGTCTTGCAGTCCTTTGAACGTGAGCAGCCTCAACTTTTTGCCGCCTTGAGTTAAAAAGCCCGCAGAGTGCAACTCAGGCTATTCAGCCAATAGGAAGTCATTTTACCCGCTGTCTTTGTCTGATTCAACCAATGAAGAATCGATATTCTTCGGAGTTGTCAATCAATTGAGATAATTGGGAGTTGTCAATCAATGTTCATAGGTTTAATTTTGACGTAATACTCACGGGAAAGCGGGAAAATTTGTATGCTTACAGTACAACGAAAGAAGGTTATATTAAATTTTATTGCATCACAATAGTACTTTTGCCTAGAACAATTCTCGAGCCTATTCCATAACAATTTCTATCAATACATTTCTAAGACAAGAATAAATATATAATAATAATTCATAATTCTATGGTCTTATAATATATTTATTTATTCTTAAGTGCTACCTCTTYAAATAGTGAAAAAATTAAAGCGAATTATGATAGAATAGCATTAAGTAGAGGAGAATAAATTGGCACGCAGTTAAAGAGAATAAAATGAGCTGGTAAAGAAAGAATAGAATGGAACAAAATCGAATTGAATAAATCAATTAAAAACGGCTGGAATCCAAAAAATTCGTAGTGGAATAAAATGGGATAGAATATAATACACTGGAAAAGAATATAATTGAGAGAAATAACTGAATAGTTTTTATCAAACTTATTAAGGTGCTATG